CAGTGCAGGCAATGACTGTCCAGAAGGTCATAATGCATGTTTGACCCAAGAACCCAGGAGGTTTGATATTAATATCATTATTCTCAATGAAAACATACTGTATGAGCTAAAGAAGGGCAACTCAAGGTACATGGAGGTGACTACACTTCTGGAAGGGAAAGTCAGAGGAGGGATGTTGGATTGATGGAGTTGGATTTCAGAAATTAAATCGTAAAGCACCTTTATGAGTTCCCCATTGGAATCAATGAATATCATCCTGACTCTTCATCTCAAATGAACATGGAACCAGTACAACAATGACATTTGTGCATATGCTCTTAGTCTAGATTCAGATGACAAAACCAAGGGCAGTTTGTAAGTGAATGTCAACCAAATTCTTGTGGAATCCTGAAGATGGACAGACTTATTTTACTTGAAGGCTTCAAAGCCAGAGTTAGATGAAGTGCCTTTCTCTGCAGTGGGATCATTGGCAAGGTATCAGTTGTAAATATAAATTCCTTACTAGAAGGTCAGAAATTGGGCTTGTCACGCATTGAGTTAATGCTCATTAGCTCCATTGGATTGGTCATGTTGTCTGGATGTCAGACTCCAGACTCCTAAAGAAGGGTCATTTCTCAAAACTAAGAAACGTTAATAAATATAGTAAAAGCAAACATTACACAAAAATCAGTGCCAAATAGTGAGAGGAATAAAGCACTTTATCAAGCCTCATTCTGATAAAATATCTTTTCTCCTCAAGCCACTGTAGCCATTGCATAATAGTTATGACTGTCTTGATGGGAGTCAAACCTTTTTAGAAATCTATTACCTGATTAATGTTTTCTGTCACTTCAACAAATATCAACAAATAAAATAGTGTAAAATTTCTAACATTACAATTACTCCAAAACAGGGATGTATGTATTACCTAAAAACAACAACTTATACAGGAAATTAAAGCTTTATGTAACCTGGAGGGAATGTAGGAAAGGTTTCCTAAATAGGATTTGAACTTTCTAAGGACTCTAGCTCATGAAAGTTTATCATGGTTGCTAGGCAACTATGTTGTGGTTCTGAAAATCTGAACCTACTTACGATATGAATTCCTTTTCTTCCCAAGAGTATTTTTCTAGCATGAAAAACAAAGAGAGGTTAATAGAAACATACATGGTAAATGATTCATGAGCAACATGGCTAATTCAGCATTATTCAAAAGTAATTTTCGCAACAGTACTTCTAGCAATAACAGCTGAAAGAAAGAACTTGTGAACAATATACAAAGGCATGTCTTTAAGTACATGTTGTGATCATTTAAATTTTAAAAACTATGATTCCTCTAAAGTTTTTTGTTCTAAAGAAGGGGCACTTTAACTTTATTTTAGTAAAAAAAAATATTAATATCCCCGAAAAACAGCTTTTAACAAACTTACAAGTGAAACTGCTCCAGCAGTTAAGGAAGCTTAACGCAGAACAGAACAGTAAGAACAAATAATTAAAAAATCATATTTCTTTTTCAGGTACCATCATTTTCAGATGTAATTTATCCAATAACAAAACATTTTTAGATCAATTATTTTCACAGTAGTGTAAAGTAGTTCTTCCTTAGTAGAATTAACTGAAGAAAATATTTTCGTTAATATAAAAAGCGTTGCATTTAAAAAAATAACTGAAACAAGTACACAAAAACAGGCAAAGCTATCCGAGCAAAGGAGTATAGCAGGGAACTTTGGTTACACTTCACATTAGCACTTTGAGTTACTTAAAAAGACTTCAGAAATAAAATAGATTTATTAGAATTAAACGTTATAGTGGTTTTCCCAGGAATTCAACCAGTGCCACATCCAAGTGCCAGGAAGAAACGGGAACTAAGGAGATTTAATACTTGGTTAAATATTAATATAAATTTAACATTTTGGATTGGTGCAGAGAAGAGGGTATTAGTTTCATGGCATTGGATGTCATTCTGGAACAAATGGTATCTATACAAGCCAGACTACTCTTGAATAAGAGGTGTTGATATATTATGGAACTGAATGTGTAAAATAGGTGAAGAATATCTAAATTAGAGAACTTAGGAGCAGGGAACTCAACCAGGTTAATTCCGTTGGGATCATGAAAGGTCTGGTCAAAAATTCTAGAGCTTGAGGGTAATACTGTACATGAATACAAAACTACAGCATTACAGAAATAACCGAAATATAACTAGGGAGGAGGATGGGAATGAATATAAAACTAATGGATGTACATATATACATATAAAGGCAGGATAGAAAGGGGTGGTATGCGACTATACATCAAAAATATTGTGGAAATTAAAGAACTGAAAAAGAAAAGTACAAGAGTAAAGGTAGTTTAGAATCTACAGTACATTGGTTAAACTGAGAATGAGGAATTTTAAAGGCTTAATAACAAGAGGAGTGTGCTGTAGACCACATGCAGACATGGGAGCAAGTACGTATGATGACATCAGGATGGTATGTAGCAAATAATAAAAAATATTATATTATTGGGGCTATTATTTCTACACACATAAATTACTCACAATAATGTGATAGGGCATACAGAGGAAGAAATGTTTATGATGCAATGTTAAGTTGTTGGAAACTAAGTGTACTAACTTGGAACTTAGTCTACTGACTTGGAAACTAAGTGTAAAACACTGTCTTTTGATCAATATTGTAATCTCTTATACAGTATGTGAGCCTAAAATTAAACTTCTTAATTAAAAAAAAAGGTTTGAAGGAATGAGACAGGGCATATAATCAATGAACTGGATACAGATGGATCTGCAGTCAATGGAAGCTTATATCATGTCATAAACGTGATAAGTGCTCAAAAAACATGGTGTAGATGCTTTAGTGTAGAAATAATAAAAAAAATCAGGAGGATGACAATACTCAATAGCATACAGAATAAAAGCCTCAAGATAATAAGGAGTCTACTGAGGTCAAGGCATAACTAGAAGACATTAGAACTGCTAAGAGGAGACTATTGTGTTCTGTACATCTGAGTGTGACAGGTAATGGGAACTGTATTTTGTGAATTCCTTTGGTTTGGGAGGGGTAGTTTGGATTGGGTGTTGGGTGATACAGTATGTATTTACCAAAGATAAGAAGAAGGTTAAAAGGTTTTGTAAGCTAATAACTGAAATACCAAACAGGTGGAAAAACCCAAAGATGGTATGTTCATTCTTATACCAGCCTCAAATAATTGTATAAGTCAACATTTCATAGTCAGGGTCAAAAACATTCATTGAGATCACACCCTTAAAAAGTCTAAATGTTTCATGTTTTTTCCTGTAATCATTTTACTTTAAAAAACACAAACTGACAATACTCAGAATTGTTCACCATCAGGTTAAACAGCCAATGGGATTGTTTGCTTTAACAGAAAGTATCTAACTGAAATACAGTATATTAGTGTGCCAAAAAGGTAGCTTCCTTTGTATGATCATAAGTTTGTTTCATCAGCTCATACAATTTCCTTTTCAGTTATGGCATTGGTTATTATTCCTGTTTCCCTTAGTCTTAGTACATTTTCACCTTTGCCAATGATCTATCATACAGTAGTTCTGTAGTTCTATTTGTAAGTGTCTTAAAGGGACACTTCTGGTTTTCCATTGATATTATTCTGATTTCACTCTTGACACTCCCAGCTTTCATTAATAAACGTGTGACCGGGTCTACAACAATAATTCCTCGATTCCAGACGTATTATAAGTATGTTAGTTGTTAATTCTTATTAAGACATTAATAGGTTAATGGAATCTTTTTGCTATTTAATGGAAATTTAGCTTGAACCCAGTCTGTACAGCGCTATGGCACAGTATGTCATATATTTAACTTTCCATGGACAATCTCTGTCTAAGCTGCTAAAAGCTGTCATGAAGTCTGAAAAAGTGATTGCAATGTACACCTTTTGATCTAATACCACTTGGGTACAATTCATTTGCTCAATTGCCATCAATAACAGTTTCTGGTCGGTTACAGAACACTGAATATTATTGGTGTGACATATCTGAAAAAGGCTTAACAGCCAAAATGTTGTGTTTTTTTCTTTCTTTTTATAGTACTTTTTCATGTTCACATAGACACCTTTGGCTGTGAATATGATTTCAACTCAGTTGTAATAGTGGCGGTATGTTATCAGCTTTGCTCCAAGACAATAAAGAAGCTTTAAAATACTCTGTGTATTGGTAGTTCTCTGACTTTGATGTTATCAAGTATTAATTGACACTTTGCACAGATTTTGAAAAATATTAAACTGTGTGTTCTTATGTATGATCTCTTATTTATCAGACTCTTGTCAACATTTACATTTACACTTACATTCATAAATAAGCAGGCTGTCAGTGGCAGCCAATAAAAAACAGGATCTTTGTCAGATTCCTTTCTCAAATTAAAAAACAGGCTACAAACCAAAATTAAAGGAACCATAAAGATGCAATTAGCCCATAGTACCTGGGTGAAAAGCACTGGAACTGATCTGGTTGATCTTCTCTGGACTCATTTCAAAGCAGCAATATCTTTCCTATACTGTAGTGATCAACATTTTACTCACTATCCTAAATTATGCGTTATTGATTGCATTATGCAATTGAAACATACCATACCTTGATTTGATTGCATTAATTTTGACCATATATCCTAAAATTCCAAATCCTTATTCAGCATAATCTGCATAATTAGCACACAGGAGAGGGGGGAAAGATTTGATAAATGCATTATCAATACCTTATTCAGGCTGGTTTAACACTTACGAGGGTTTTCAGAGATATCAGTCATATTGTAGATTTACTAAACCCTGCTGACAGGACAATAAAGAGACTAAATAGAATAACAGAGCCTTTAAATGATGTAATCTGAAATTGATAATCCCCAAATTACATATACATTCACACAAAGCAGAGTTCTGTAAAACTATTTAGGTGATTTCCAGTGCTATGTAACATCAAGTTGAGAACTTTTCATGATTTTTCAATGATTGTTTGACAAAGTGTAATGTTGTATTTTTTTCTCTAGGTCCGAACTCTATTTGTCAGTGGGTTACCATTAGATATCAAGCCACGAGAACTTTATCTTTTATTTAGACCATTTAAGGTAGGTTTTTATTTGATTCAGTTGCTTCACTTATGTTTAATGTGTTTCTGCCTGTGATGTTTAATATTTTTGCATTCCTTTGTTAATTTCAGGCTTTTGATTCGTGAAAAGAAGAGAATGAGCTTACCAAATTGTTTTACTGTATTTATTATTTGGGGAACTAAAATCACACAATAAATAATTGTATTTTATAAGGTTACAATACATAGAGTTCTTGTGTCGTTTTGCGGTTGTATGAATTGTAGTAAAATGTAATTTATAATGAAAAGGGCTAAAGTGTAACAACGGGAAATTCATAAAGATTCAAATGCACAATCATAATTGGAGATTCTAAGAAAGACTCCTATTCCTGCCAGTCCTACTGTAGGCACAGTATAAATACAAGCCATTAGTCCAATCAGTCCCAGCTTTCATTGCACTTAAACTAGACAGTCTGCCAGCTGCCCTCTATCTATTCTCTCTTTACTTGTTGCTACTTGCCTTCTCCTCCTACTGTTTCTGGCTGCTTTCTACATATGGATCAATCCTGAACCACTGCCAACCAAACTATGTCTTTTAACTTAAACAAAAAAGTAAAAATGTCTCTTATAAAATGCAGCCGTCTGAACTCTATTGTACTTCACTAGGTTGATAAACCCTAACAAAGTAATTATTGACCAATAAGACTTACGTGTGTAGGTCTGGTGTTTGTGATGCTTATGGGGTGCTTTTTTTATTTGTGTTTGAAGAGTGGATTTTTATAGATTTCAAAAGCAAAAGGAGGATTAGTTTTTGTGGGAGTGACAGTTGGAGGGAGAGATGGAGTGTGAAAGGAGAGCTGTACTATTTTACATTTTGTTGTCTTTCTATTAAGTGTGTTTTTCCTCTTACATCTGTCCAGTCCTGTTTGCCACTGGCCACAGCCTTTTTTCCTTCTGCTCGTGTTTCTATTTCTTTAGCTTTTCTTTCCCCTCTACTATCTGTGTCAGATGGAGGGGCAGGTCCTCTGAACCTTGTGTTGGTCTCCCCAGCCTTACCCTCTTTCCTCCATGCCCCTGTAGGTCTGCTATCCACTTTTCGCCTGTGTTTTCGATAAGGATGTCCAGTCTAGGGCTCACACTGCCCATGTCCAGTTTGTACTGATGCAACCCCTACAAGGTCCCTCCAAGCATGGTTACAACTGCTAGCACTGTCCTCCTCTCTCCTCAAGTAACCAGCCTCAGCCTCCCTGCTGGTTCTTTGTTACTACAGGTATCCAGATCTCATCAGCAGACGTCCAAATATACCCCCAGCAACTTCAGTCATTCATCCACCCTACCTTCCAGTTTTCCCCCACGATCCTCTCCTCTCTTTGCCTCTTCCCCTTAAAATGTAGGTTCCTTTTCCCTAAAAATTCCCTTCTTCCACTTCCACTACACTTTCACTATACAAGAGCAGTAATTGATTAATTTTATGTGGCTCCTGATGCTTTTTCCATTTTTTTAGGAGTGAAAGCAAATGGCTGAATCTGTGAAAAACACTGTCCCTTACCTTTAACACTCTCTAATCTCTTTTTATTATATTTGTTAAGATCATAATATCAACTTTAATTGATAAATCTGTATTGTCCTCTCTTTACTATGACTTACTGTTTTTGTTTCTTTCTCAAGGGTTATGAAGGCTCACTAATTAAGCTAACCTCTAAACAGGTAATCATAATTGTTTGTTACTTTCATGTTTGCATCTTGAATACAGCTTTGTGTAAAATGTGATTATTTACTTGCACACTATGATTGCATATGGTGAAAGTATATCATTGTCTTCAGCATTTCAGCCAAGTATCAAACAATCTAACTTTGTTTGATAGAGCAAATATAAAGGAATATTCAATAGCTCCGCCTTCTGAAAGAATGTACATAATCTAGAATGAAGGTCAAGACAGCACTAATCTTTCAGAAACGTGTTACAGAAACAATTTTACTGCTAGTATTGTGAATTGAAAATAAAAACTCTGCAAATAAGGACTAATATTTGTATTTTTTATGAACTTATCTCCCCTCCCCCAATCTATCCAAAAAACTATTTCAGGGGAAGAGGGCTATCTCTGCCTATAATTTATAAAATAATAAAAAATATGAAATATATTTATTTCATTGTCCTCAAGTATTGATGTTAAGGCAAACAGTACTGACTTAAAATATTTCATACAGAATGTCCCAAATTTCCCACTAGTGTCTGCTTAGGAAGAAAAATAAACAATTGCGTGATGGAGTTAAAATGCTATTGTGCACTGTGACGTACATATTTAGATTGGATATTTGGTCAAAAGTACTACTAGTAATATTTTCTTCAAATTTCTTTAATAATAAAATAATTTTTTTAGATGTCTTAGAAACACACTGCCCCATCAGTTGATTCAAATCATAAAAATTAACATATTTCAGAAAATTTCATTCTGCACTTTCTTTTGGGTTTTGGAAAACATCTTTTAACATCATTCTGGTAAAAATGTGATAAAAAAAGGATAAAAAGGAAGTTCTGTATATATGAAAATATGATCATATGAACTGCACAGGCTTTCAACCAACTCAGACAAGGTTTTAAAAGCAACTCCAAACATATTCTAAGACAATAAGAAAGTTAAAGTAAGAAAAGGTCATCTTATTAACTTTTTGAAGAAGTTCAAACATTAAAAAGCTAACCTTAATCATTTATCTTTAATAAATTACTTTGTTTAATACTATTTTGATTATGAGGCTGCTTTTAAGGCAGTAAGACAATTATCTCTATATATGGTCGCAGCTCTTTTCGTTTACAATTGTAATTCTATTTATATCAGACTTCTGCACACTTCTTATAGTCATTGCCTGGTTAAAACGTTCTCCTGTTCTACAATGACGTCTCTTTTCTACACAAATCTCTGAGTAGCCTCACGAGAAATGTCTGCTAAGGGCTTTTTAATCCTTGTCTCTGTTATGGAATCCTTCAGAGGAGGAATGCCTTCAATCTGTATGTCAGCACGGCAATGTTTTCCACAACCAAGTGACAGCTTGGGTAAAGACATCTTAAATTAATGGGGCAGCCTTTCAGCGCTGTGTTATTTACTTTATTTGGTCTGTGGGTAGGCTGCTTCCATTTTGTCCCTGTGTAGGTATTAGGGAGGGACTTGTACAGTACTTTAGGTCACTGAGGAATTATGGTGATTTTTAACACATAATTAATTTCCATATCACACAACACTTTGGTGTTTTCAGCGTTTTCTTTCATTAAAGAATGAAGCAGTCAATGTACTCACAGTGATTTAATTTTGTGTCGTTTTTTTTTTATTACTGCTTGAATGCAGAGGGCAGGAGTGTAAAGTAGTGATAGAGCTCTGGACTCCCCTATAGTGGGTTTTGGGTTAAAATCCTGAGTGGGACAAAACTCTTATATCCATGAGTTAGGTACTTCACTCATAGTCTTCTAGTAAATGGTTCTGAGAATTTACTTTTTGATCATCATACTTGATAAATTAGTGTAATAATCAAACTAGTGTAAGTTTTACCCTTACCTGGTGTTGTACTATAAGCTTTCCCTCATGTGAGTACTACAGTAATAGTGGATTAACGGGGCTGTAAATGATGAATAATTCAATATTTTTTTCTTTCTCTTCAGCCTGTAGGATTTGTGAGTTTTGACAGCCGGTCAGAAGCAGAGGCTGCTAAAAATGCTCTGAATGTGAGTATGACCGTAATAAAAACTGTGCCTGCTACCAAAGAGATCCTAAATTATTTACTTGGCATAAACCTCCTTAAAGCATTCTGAAAATGTTTCTTTTAAAAGCAGACTGATTTTGAATTAACCAAACTACTGCAAAATATAATTCTATTTTTTTTTTTTCTGAAGATATTCATGGTTATTCTCCCTGCCATGAGACTGTCACCTTTTACTGGACTTTTGCTTAATTAAACAACATGTATTCAAAAAATGCTATATATATATATTTTGTTTATGTGTTGCAATAACAAAGTAAAATAAAGCAGACACTTTCTGCTGCTTGATTTCATGTAGCTGACTGAAAAAATGTAATAAAAACGGGCTTTCTAATGGTTTGATTATTAACAAAATTTGTGGCTGAAACCAACATTTGTGGTTATATATTAATTTCAGATGTTTTGCAGAAAACATTGTTTTTTGTTGTTTTACTTTTGTTGACTTTTTTCACTGAATTTAAAGAGCTTTTAAGTTTGTTTTGCCAGTTTTATCACATAGTAAATAACCCATGTATTATAAATGAAATTGCCAGTTCCTGACTCATTTAGGCAAGAAAGGAGTAACATTTCAAGAACATGACAACAGTTTGTTTTTCAGAGAAGTTACTAAGGAGATTTTAAACAAATGTTCTGCCAGAACAGTCTCATAACTGTTGATTAAAGCCTCTTGAAACGTATGTACTGTACATTTGTTTAAGTCTATGATGTACACTGTTTTAAAATGCATAGCAAAATACTGCTTTGATCTAAAAAATAAGTACACAATGTACTTTGTGCTACCAGCAAGTGTATAAAGAAAAAAAAACTCAGCTCAATTAAACACATGGTTAATAAAACATTTTTATTTCATTTTGGAGGCCAAAGTACTTCATTAGAGTAGTAAAATTAGAGCACTGATCATGAAGCAGAGATGGAATCTGACTTTTCCATTACTTGCATTGTCGGGTGGCACATTGAGAAAGTTATGATAAACAGACACTGTACTGAAGAAATGTATTATTTTATTAAATAAACAGACCACTAATTGTCAATTGGCACATGCTACTTCAGGACTTGTTCTGAAAAATAAAAAGATCATGAGAACGATATCTTTCAAGAGCTAACTAACCGACCTCTTGAAGGTGATACAGTAGGTCTGGTTAACAAATACAGACCACCTACAGTATGTCTGTGTGCTTAGCAGGCTGGGACTTGTACAGTAGAAATAGTTGTGATTTTATTGTGATGTCAGTCTTGCTGAGGTAATCTCTGATTGAGCTTAATGGTCTGTAATCCTCCCAGAGATGTCTCTTTTCCTTGGCATAGTTTATATAAACTCCAATCTGGCTCCTACCCAGAGAGCTGAACGAAACAGGGAGCCTTCCTAATGGCTAATGTGTTACAAGGGGCAGGCAGAATGATTTACTGTGCATGTTCAGGGCAGTCCTCAAATCAAGATCCAGCTTTGACAAAGCTGAACAAGGCATTTGGCATGTGTGATGCTCATGGTAACAGAGGTCAACAATTTTAAGACAAGAAGAATATATTGTTTTGATTAGTTCTTAATTAAAAATGCTGATAACTGTTCTGAATAACAATAGGTGGGTAGCAGTATCATGTTTGTGCAGTTTTTGTTTTTGGTTAATTTCTTTTTAAAGATGGGAGATAGAAATGGTTCAGTTAAGTATGTTAAACTTGCAGTCAAAATGTACAAAGTACAAAGTAATGTGCATATTGTATATCAACAAACTCTGTTGTGAACTCATCTCTGAATCAATTATGTTCGTGAGCTAAACAATTACTAGTAAGCAATCATTATGGATATACAGTATCTGCTTTTGGTTTGTTAGTGTGATCTTTTGGATATTGTGTTCCATATTTATGTTTTTCATTTTAGTCTTATTCATCAAATCCTTGATCCTTGTATGAATATACTGTATATAGACAGATATTGCAGCTATGATAAAGTATGAGCCCTAAAAATGAAACCCCTTGTCTTTACTTTACAATAATGAAGAATACTACTAAAGGCTCCTCAGGCCAAGTATTTTTCATTCATTAACAAATATGTAGCCACCTGCATAGATTAAAGACAATAATTGATTTTAGAGATTAGGTGGAAAGTGTAGACAAAGTATTTTGACATTAAAATACCATTGATAAATGTCACGTTATTCAAGTGTCACTGATTACGTACCAGGTTATATTTTGACCAACGATTTAGTTTTGAAGAAGACATATTGTCTCTTCTTTATTTTATTCCTTTTTAGGGAAAAAAAAGAGATATTGTCATAGTAAAGATAGCAGACTCTAATATTTCTCCAAGGATCTGAGTGAAAAATGCAGACATTACATATACTGTACAAAAATATTGTCCTAAGATATAGCTGTAATAGCGATAGGTGAGGTTTTAAATGAAACACTTAATATAGTGTGAATTGAAATTATTTGCAGTAAGTGTCCTTGGAGAGGAGAGTGCAGAGGTTTTAAACAGGTCAACATTCTAAGAATGGCAGCTCTGGTGGAATGTTTTTCTAAACGATTTACACATTTCGACTACTCTTTTTTTCTTTGTTATTGGTCTGCTGCATGTGCCGTTCAAAAGTGTTTGCCAGTATGCAACTGGAGTGGAAATTTAACTCTGGAGAGCTTGTGGTTTATTAACATAAGCAGAAATTCAACAAAAAATAAAATGATAGGAATAATACAGGGGTAAGCAGAGATTTGTGTATTAGCAGACAAGGTCCTTCATTTGACAACCCTGCGTTTTTATATCTTAATGCACCTTTGCTGTCTGATCATTTGGCAAAGTCAATCAGCCCCAGAAAGACAGAGAGATAGAATCCTGTTGTTTACTCAGGGTCCTTAACACATGTTTCACTTGAAATGTGGAAAAGAGTCTACAATAAACACTACTTTTCTTTTTGGTAATTTTGTTGCACTGGCACTTATTGAGATTGTTGTGACTGATGTCTAAACATCAGTATCTTGGGAGTTGTTGTCCTTTTAGGGTTTAGGGTTGACCAATTCCTTCATCTGTTGTCCCTCTCAGTTTCTGATGCTTCTTATTTAGTCCATGTACTTTTTTCCAGAAATAACTGTTTTTTGACAGATGGAATGTGATTGTTGGGAATCAAAGCAGAGTTAGTAGCTCTCACAGTAGAAGGTTTAGGGGGACAATAAACCACAACGGAACAAGTAATAGGTTTATTCCATGCTGAAAAATAGAAGAAAGAGAACACAACGTTTCGGCTGTGGAGCCTTCTTCAGGTGTGAGAGAGACAGGGCAGTAGGCAAAGGTAAAGACTATTACTTGTTCCTTTGCAGCCTACGCATGCTGACGCAGCTACCCACCTGAACTACAATAAACCATAACTACCAACAGAAACTGAGATCCTTTAGTATTGAAATCAAAGCACTTTAGATTATTCTAGCTCTTCCAAGCGATGAAGGAGTGCTAAACCACCACTCTGACCACAGTTTCACAATTGCTCAAAATACAAGCCGTATCCCATAACCTTATTCAACACCAAATTCTTGTTTAGGTGCTATTTATCAGTAAAACAACTTTTTGATCAATAATAAACTCACCAAAAATCATGTGCATACTGCTGTGCTATTCTGACCAGTACAGCTGTACCCTGTCCCTGCTGGGATTTAATCACAGTTACCCACAGGCTCAGAGCACCATAGTACCACTCTACAGACAGTAGTAAATGGAAAAGCAAATTTCCATTATGCCAGAAGACTAAGTTGTCTGCTAGGGGAGGATCCTACATTGTCTAGGTCTCAAGCAGGTAACATCACCTTTTACAAAAGGCCCAATGAACCTTGTGAAATTCTCCTCCTCTGCAGAGACTTCACAGATATGATAAGTTCAAGCTCTGCTCTGCACCTGCAAGGATTCAATCACAGTTCATACCTACACCGCACCCGTTCACAGACAACAGCAAGTTCTGCTATGCTACACAACTGAATACCCTCCAGTGACAGACTTCGACACTGTGTAGGTTTTAAGAGGATTATGCAAGTTTTTGTAACAGGCTCAGTGCCACTGAATCCTATTAGACTGTTTTCAGGGAATATGTCAATGTTACCAAGCAGTGCCAGGAATATGGATGGTGACACAACCTTGAGCAGTCTTGTTTGATTATCTTGTATTGGTTTATTATTGGTAGAGGAATTTATTTGTTCCTCATCAGTGTGATCATCCCAACCTTTTCTTATTTTATTGAAATTAATATTCTGAGGCTCTCTTCATACTGTTCCTTGGGGTTGTCTCTGTATTCCATTTGCAGGGTATCCGCTTTGACCCAGAGATTCCTCAGACCTTGAGGCTGGAGTTCGCCAAAGCTAACACCAAAATGGCCAAAAACAAGCTGGTGGGAACCCCCAATCCTGGCCCACTGCAGCAGAGCCCAGGGCCTCATTTCATCACCAGGGAACCATGTGAGTGCAGCCCCTGATCCACTCTTCATCCTTATGGCTGTGGCAAGACAAGTTGTAAGATTCGTCAAGACTGAATAAGCTAATTAGTCGTTAAACTCACGATATCCCAAATAAATATCTGAGCCATAAAGTTTTTGGAATCGTCAGAGCATTTGTTGTAAGTATGTTCTAAGTATGCATAATTCATTTTTTTTTTATTTAAGAAGAAAATAGTATTTTTAAGCCTCATGAGTTGAATGCACTGGTAGTCAACATCATACTCTACTAAGCAAAAAAGCAGAACACGACACTTACGTTTTGAATATTCATCCTTTTTTTGTAAGACAATAATTAAATATAACTTTACTGTACGTAATAATCACCTTATGGTGAAGATAGCGCTTAAACACGATCCTTCCATATCGTACTTCAGAGAAAAGGATGATGTTTGTTCCTTTTCATTTGCCGTTAGGTACTGTAATGTGTTGGCTAAAAGAAGTAATTTTAAGTTTTTTTTCTCTTGAGGTTTTTATGAAGTTCAGAAAAGACTGAATGATTCCAAAATATTATTGCGTTGAAACATTCCTGAAAATGACACAATAATTGTACTCAGCTTCAAAACAATTACAAGCATTAGTCATAACTTAATAGGGGTGAAAAATAATGTTCTTAAAATTAGAAAAGGCCCTTAAAAGTGTATAGGTGTTTTGAATTTTTAAAAACGTTTTTAACGATGATATCATTTATTTGGTTATATGATGGTTTTCCCGACTAAACGGTTAATTCAAAAGTGATTTTGTGACTGCTGTATGGCAGAAAAGACAGTGAACTGCTGAATTGCAATTTATCCCTGTGCCATGTACAGTATATCACATTTAAGTACTTAGAGTTCTAACAGAACATTACATTGTTACTCTGTAAGACATAACAGTTATTTTTGTATATCAGAAATTAGTCCTTGTACTGTATGTTTTACAGATTTGCAAACCAATCCCACTTGATGTTTTGAGATTATCAAACTCTTCTGTTCATTAAAATTAATACATTTTACTCAGAGATTCTTTTTAAATAGCATTGAATTTGGTTTTAAACCATGCATACTTTAAGTCAACATATTGAACACAAAATTTCAATTGAAATTCTTTTATTTACGTTTTAAAGTGTCTGTGGCACAGAATGTAGTTAAAGTTTGACGTAGTATGTGGCACTGTATTCTGAAATACTTTTAAGATAAATATTATGTTTAATTCTGTGTAAACAGTATAAAACTGGCAAAGACTTCTGTATACAAGGCTGCACTTTTAAGTGCACTTGTGCATTCCTACAAAATGAGCAAGCTAGCTATTAACTGGAAACATAAGTTTAAGTAAACCTCGTTCTGTTTGGATTGTTCTGCAAAAATACAAAAGGAAACAATTAGTTTAAAAAATGATGTAATGTCAAGATTAAAAGCTAATTTTAGTCAACTAAACACAATTGTCTGATGGGGTATGATATAAATGTCATTGGAATGGGCTCATAAAATGCTTTACAAGCTTCAGAGTGTACTTCATTCATAACAGCACAAAAAAGGTTGCAAAAGGAGAGGAGGCCATTCGACACGATCAGTTGATCCAAGAATCTCATCCATCTGTCTAGCTGAGTAGCTTGTTCCGGGCTCCTTCAGCTCTCTGTGGAAAAAGTACCTCCTGTTTTCATTTTAAATGCACTCCCCAGAATTTCTACTTCTTGTTTATATTTCATTGCTAATTTCAAATGTGTTTATTGGCTTGACTTTGTCAGTGCATTTGATGATTTTGACATACCTGAATCCGTTGCCGTAGTAATTTTCTTTCTTGAAGATCTTTTTAAAATCGGGAGCGCACACAGCTTAAACTGTATAGTACTTGGTCCATTTGCCCTTAATTGTGCTGTTTGTTTTTCATATTCATTCTTCTAGATTCTGTCTTTTTGGCCTAGTGGTATTGCGTATGTGTGACAAGTGCCAATGTCTTTTAAAATTGTTAATACTGTTCAAGACTAATAGGCTTAGTTCTTTTAACCTGTGAGAGTGGAACACAGGAATGTATCTAGTTGTTCTTACCTGGACTGGTTCCAAGGGAGCACTGGACAGACAGAGAGTTCAGAGGCATATTGATGTTAACAGACTTGAAACAGAAGCAGGGTTTTAAAAAAATGTCCAAAAACATTCACTGTCGTTATTTGTTTTCTGTTCGATTTTATGAGCAGGGCAAACAAATTCTTCTTGTGTCCAAAGCCAAAAATGTCAACAGAATTAAATATTTTTAATTCCATGTCTCTTACATACATTTTTCTAAAATACAAATGATTTTTTCTTCTGCCATGATTATGTGGCTTTCTTTAGGTTTAACAATGCCAAGTGCAATTAAATTAGTGTAAAACAATGTGGATCGTATAAATAACCCTGTTTGGTCAGTGTGACCTTGTCTGTCTGTACAGTTCAGTTCCTCATTAAAATTCCTTTTAATTAGTATACCCTGGGAAACTGTAGTTTAGTATTTTTGTATTATTTCTTGAATGTGCCTAGTTTGGATCATAGTACGCCAAACCAATTTACCTCCTCAGTAAACAAAAAGTGTGACAACACATATGAAATAACACATTGTAAGAAACGGTGATGGATGTGACTGATTAAGGCTTTTGGCAGTGGCAGAGCACATGTGTACTGGGGGTTACACTAAAGGTTTGCTTTGGTCTGCGTATGAAAAAACATTTTTTAGCAGTGGCAGTGTAATGATGTGGTGGAACATTAATGCCATAAGAGAAGACTTGTTATTGATGGTTATTTCACTGCAGGCTATCAAGACAGTTGGGATTCCAAAACTGTGTTCCACCCATTATTAGAACAATAACAATGTAATTGCTTCTTCTTCAACTTGATAGAATGTTTCTCCATATGGAAAATGTCATTCTAGTCTCTGCATATCAATCTAGAATCATTTTGCAAAGGCCTGCTGTATTCCTGAATTTTAACTTAATCACAAAGGTATGGTACAAGACAGGAAGATTCATGCTGCACTTCACTGCCAATATTGCCTAATACCCTAAAGGGGAAGTGCTGTCTGAATTTCTCAGTCCGGTTATTATATCTGATTTACAAAATAAATTAAATGACGGTTTCACAAAATTTTACAAATTTTGAATTAAGCACAAAATTGTGAAACGTTTCAAAGCACTGTGTGATCTCCATTTTGTTGCAAACCACTGGTATCGCCATAGACGAGAGCACAAGTTTCCGTGAACTGTGACATGAAGTGGCCCTTCCTGCTCACTAGTCATTGTAATGTGATGTACGAGCAAGTAAGTACAGGTTATGCAGCAGATATTTCATGGCAGAAATGTTCCAACGTGATCTGCGTGCAGAGTTAAAAAGTAAGTATTACTTATCAGCAAAACCATCTTGAAGTTGAGAGTACTATTTCTATTAGATTAAAAGAGATGTATTGACAAGCCTGCTTGTTTACAATGTCACAGGGCCACACAGGTCACTGGAATTTTGTACGTTAATGTGTACATTTTACTTTCGTTGTGGTTTGAAATGCATTCATCAATGATGATTCTAACCCTGAAATAAAAAAAATAGGGATGCAGTTCCTCTTTAATTAGAACGTCTCTCTGGTAAAGATAACTGCTAGTCTGTACCTTACAGCTTCCATCCCTGATGTGAAGCTATTAATGGAGAAAGTCATTTGCAAAAAATGAAACATTCCCACATCTTAAACATACTGAATAAACCCACCTTTATCCCAACTAGCAGTTATCTGGATTCTGTGGTTGCTGCATTTCTGATGTGTTATCATAAGAATATATTTTTACATTTTAAGAGAAGAATTTTACATATGTTAAAATGCTTTTACTGTCAACACTTTAGGCACAAGGACAGTCATACTAGAAATGCTTTTTGAAAGTTTAATGTGAGAAAGTTAAATGTGAGAAATTCAATCGTAGATTTCTATGGCCACAATTGTAATGAAATTCAAGGGATTTTCTTCCTGGCTTTTGCTTTTTTAGTAAGAGCCTGGTAATGATATTCTTGCTGATAGCAGGTGTGATGTGAAAGATGCTTTAATTAATTTGGCTCAAGATTAGCTGTGGTTCACATTTGTTCATCAACATTGTTTTAATTGCTGCGCCAATTGATGAACATTTCTGATGTTTTCTTTAAAGTATTTTGTTTTACCTTATTGTTCATGTTTGCTTCTCCTATTTCAGAATCAATCATTTTTCCTCTCTGACTCAATGCTATCCAGTTGTTAAACAATAATGTTTACAATGTAGAATTGTCCGTGACATTTCCATTTCTTCAATAAGCTTTCTCAGCCTTTGTACAACACATCTCTCTTGTTTTTTTCTTTTTATTCTTTTTTTTCATGATCATCTTTCTGATCTGTCTGTGCACAGTCTCATCACTTACCTGCCTGTCCCTCTTCTTGTTTTACAGATGAGCTCACAGTACCTGCACTTTACCCAGGTAGCCCCGATGTCTGGGCTCCATACCCTCTGTATCCCGCGGAGTTGTCACCTGCTCTACCTCCTCCTGCTTTCACCTACCCTTCTTCACTGCATGCTCAGGTAATCTCCCTGAGCACCACCAGCCTCACCAACTCTTCCCTTCACAGACCCACGGCACACTCCATTCACCTAACCCCCTGTCCAGGCTAATGGGCTCTGCTGGTACTGTAGCTGTCCCTGCCCTACTTTCTCCCCCTCCTCTCCGTCTAATACATTCTTCTATGTTGTTGTCAGAGCAGAGGCCACTGCAAGGCACCTAGATGCATTGAACTACAATTGAAGATTAAGGTTAGGGCTAGAATTCCCAAACGTCCATAGGTGCATAGCACTGGTGTGAAACCTACACTCCAAGAGCTTCTCCAAAGGTTTGTACTTATGGCACAAAAAATACAGGATCAACAGATAAACAGGACACCTGAGAGTTTTCTCTTGATGTGTTTTTAAATTCCCGAAGAGCTGACTATGTCCTCAGCACAGGAGACCAATATGATATCTGAGTGAAGAATGATTTCATGACTAAAACCAAGGATCAATACTTAGTTAGCAAGTTGACTCAAAGATATCCTTTGAGTTCACTGTGCCAAAGGATAGAAAAACGCAGAGTCTCTGCTCTACTACTTAAACTTATTACAAAAATAATTTCCATCTTTTTAAATTGTCCTTTAGTTAAATTAGAAATGACATTTCTATTTTTTGTAATATTTGTAATGCCCAGTTTTTCACGTAATGTCACCAGAAGTTAAGGAAGAAACTAGCGTGGATTATGGTAGTTTGAGGTTAAGGCTGTTCTATTATTTTTGTACTCATTATCTCGAGATCACAAAATAGTCATCTCAGGATATGGAACAGGGAAAAAATTCTAGTGAGATCATGAGATTATTCATTTCTGGAATTCAGAAGAGCATGGTCTTTATCTCAAGATTACAGGATAATTTATATCAGGAATTCAGAAAAACACTGCTGCTCTCTTGAGATCATGGGAAAATGTATCTCATGATTCTGGAAACACAGGCACTGTCTCAAGATCGTGGATTAATTTCCTTGAATTCTGGGACAATGGCACTTATCTACTTCAATATAATGTTAATTATAAATATTAAATCCTGTAAATGTATGTGTATAAAGATATTTAAATTTAAATATATTTGAAGCATGACCAACTATGACATGTTAGAGGAGAAGACACACAAATAAAGAGACAGCATTGCATTCAGCTGTGAAAAACTGTTTCATGCCCCTGACAAAATGGTGCCTTTAAATGCACTTCAAACTCATGTAAAACCAAGTTTATTTCTTCCAGGTATGTGGATTCTTAATATTTCATGGATATGAATGTAGATTTTTTGGTTTTCCGAAATCCTGAGTAAGAATATATCTTTAAATAGCTTTGCTTTTGGAATGTTGAGATAATCAGTGAAATCAATCACAGTACAGCCTCACTAGGAGATCTACATTTTTTATCGATCTGATTATTCACTGGATTAGTAATGGTTAGAACAGCATACTACGAATAGCAAAACAAACATTTACTTTTTATTATTATTTTTAATATAATTATTTTATACTTTATGATATATTTTAAGAGAGCTTTCTTTAATTCCGAAAAAAATGTATTAAAAGGAAGATTAAGGTTTTGACCTGATTGTTGTTTATGACCTGTAGAATACAGTATACAGTACAAGAGTAGGTTACAGTATAACCTAGCATTGGGCAATTTGTGGGGTAGTGCTACAGCATGTATTGTACTGATGTTATAAAACTGTGGTAAACATCAGGTTTTCATAATTTTGAAACTCTATACCTCTAAAAAGCACTTTCAAATTTCGAAACAATAATTACTTTAGGACATGTTTAGCTGCTTGAAGCTGGATTTAATAAATGGAAGATTGTGCAAGGGACCCATGAACAGGTGCATTTATTATGAAGCATCAGGAGACCTTCAGTTAAGATGCTGGATGACTTTTTACATCTAATTGATATAATTCATGCCTGAAATGATAGTTTCTGAGGCACATATTAAGTCATTAAAACTCCTTCCAAATCCCAGAAAATTGTTCCCATGATCTTATACTCTGACAGCTGTGTGCCAAGTCTTTTGGATGTTAGAGACCTCTTGGTACTTCTGCTGTACAGACTCTTCTGTGGTCTCTGCATCCCATTGATGAATTTGTGTCTTATCACCAGTAACCAGAAAGCAGAAAGCTTAGCTGGATCCCATAAAGATCTATGGGAGCTGACAACTTGATTCTTTTTAATGGTTCTAATCACAAACTCTTGAACTTCAGAGGGAATCTGGGAAGAGACCTTAGACACACTGAAACCCTTGTGGGTGATTTTGTAAAAACCTCTCTCTGAAATGCCAACACGTACAGTGTTAAGGTCTGGACTGGACCTCTCTGTGATAACATCAGCAGGATGTCTAGACCTTGAATGATAAAAGGTCTCTCATTTAAACTTAGCTGATGATTTTGCTATTGTTAAATATTTGGTGGCTCTGTCACAATAAAAACCCACCATTTATTGAAACATAACAATACATTTCCTTAATCAGGAACGTAATGATGCAGAAAACCAAAGCTCATTTGTTGTGAGGTCCACGGATATATTTATTTTCATTGATTAGTTGTAAATGAAGTAAGGTTTCAAATGAGCCATGAACCAAATTTCTCAATTTTTCTGGTGAATCCTATTCTGAATTTATTGACTTTCTTGTGCGCTGAAATGAAATGAAATCCTTTCTGTGGGTCACAAGGGTGAGCTCTGAGGACACTTAATCCCTGCGACCCATGGGTGAAGTAGCTCTCTATAGGTGCTTGACAAAATATAGTTTCAACAGTATTAAAAGTCTAAAGGTCTCTTTCAATGATTCTCCATTGTAAAATTGGTTGTGGCAGTTTAACTTGCATATTTTCCCTAATTCACATGTTTTCACTTGATATTAGACGAGATCCACCCTCCCCCTGCCTGAACGCCTAGATAGGTCATAGATAAATACAGTCTGAAACGTTGGTGGAATAGTACTGGTGGGGGGGATTTAAATGTCAGATTTGCTGGACATCCTGCGGTGAAAGGGTTCGCTGTTAAGTGATGGGGTGCTGGGAAGGGTTTGAGTTTAGGTACAGTTATGAAACAGCACAGAGGCGTGGCAGAGTGAGAGGACAGGTTCAAGAGTTTAGAAGGCCATGGGATCAGGTGAGTAAGGTGCTGTTCATCACCTGTTGATCTTCGCTTGTCCAGATTCGCTGGATCCCTCCTGTGGATGCTGCTCCTCAGGGATGGAAGTCTAGGCAGTTCTGCTGAAATCTGTGTGAGTATGTCCTGCTGTCTTCCTAACTGAGAGCCCTCTCTCGAATGCATGATGAGAACACAGCATAACCTCTTATTTAGTTCAGGTGGGGAGCTGTGTCAGCATGCGTAGTCTGCAAAGGAACAAGTAATAGGTTTATTCCCTGCTGAAAAGAGAAGAGAGAAAACACAAGATTTTAGCTGTGAAGCCTTCTCCAAAACCTTATGTTTTCTCTTTTCAGCATGGAATAAATCTATTACTTGTTCCTTTGCATAACCTCTTATTAGTGACTATATAGAACTGTATCTAAAAACAAATCTTAAATGTATATATCTGTGCAACTTAATAGTTTGCTATCCTATCCTGTATGTATGAAAATACTTGTTATGCCCAGTCAGTAATATATGCGAAAAGCACAGCTTTAATAATACTCACCCTTTTTTTAAAGCGATAAATGGAAAAAAATGCTATAATAAATCCAGTACATCCTGCACACATTTAGACACCAGATGTCACAAATGATCTGGTGGCACTGTAAATGGCTCCTGCAGAAAGTAATAAAAAAACATTAAAATTTTGGAGACCTGTGGGACGATTACACTCTATACCTGCTTCACTAGAATAAAAAACGTACAGAATTGCTCTTCTGAGCCAGCACCTGCATCTGAAACCATGATCCAAGAATGCAAGGAAAGACTCCATTACTAAGAAGGTGTTTTATTTTATTTTCAAAGCATTCCCAAGGTGCACTTTGTGTTGTCTCTAAGTTACTTGGGAGCTATAGCTGTGTTTTTCATTTATATTCAAGTCATGCTCCTACTGTTTTCCAATTGGCATGAGTTTTAAAAAGTCTGCCTACTTATTGTAAGGCTAGCACATGCAACCACACTCCAGTTCCAAATCACTGCCTTGGGCACAAAAATGACTGTCCATGCCACACATATACTGTATATATGTCAAACTGTCCTCATTCTGTGTTAAACGCTTTATTAAAGTTTGTTTTTGTTAAAGATGTTGTACTTTATACACAGACATTCAAAATGAGACGTGACATAAATGGGCGAAAATATGACTAATATGAGTAATAATAGAATGGATTTCTCTACCTGTATTCATATTGTTCCACTGATATTATAATTTAATAATCGATGTGGTATCCCTGAAAAAATTCTCATAAACATGAAAGTCGCAGTGGAGGAACAGGAAGGGGCTTGTCCTACAGACACATTCCCACTTTCCCTGGGGCACGGCTTGACTTATCTTGACCAGATACAGGCACTCCAGGCACGGCGTTGATTAGCTTGAGGTTCACATCTTTTATTTCACGCTGCTTATCCTCAGTGGAGAGAAGTGAGGAAAATGAAAATTGAGACCAAACAAGAAGCTGCCTCCTTATCCTGCCTCGGTGAATTCCGGTGGGAGAGACAAGGAAGTCATTTAGGGTGGGAGGAGAAAGTGGAGTTGTTTGCAAAATTGATTGTATACTTCTAAGAACATAATTAAAGCAACAAAGAGCAGGAGGTTGTTTATCCCATCTTGATATTTCCAGTTACTGGTACAGTGCCCTGACATGATATAGAAATCTGCAACAGAACACCAGGCACAAAATGGAGCATCCTTACAGCCATCCATAACTTGTACCTTCACCTTCTGAGCAATGTAGGGCCTGACATGCACAGTCATGCTGCAGTTTATGCCATGGATGTACAACTGTGGAAGGAAACTTGGGCAGCTCCACTAGCTCAACTGTTTTGGGGGTTGTGATGTTTTTGTAAAGTCAGACCTGTAAGTCCTACATACTCTACTGGCCCTCCAAAAGTATATGAAATTTAAATTGGGGTTTTCAGTATGAACTCTAATGATCATTCCTCATGAAAAGACATGACTCTGGAAAAAAAAAATTTGAATAAGGTCAACTCATTTCTAGCCTGTTGGGTCAAGAAAATGAACCGAAGGCTAAAACCAAAGAAATGTTAAAGAAAGGCAATTTTGAATCTTAAACAAAAGGAAGTTTCAATAAGGACCATAGAAAAAAAAACTGTGCATAAAAAATGAAGCATTTTGGAAAATATTAAAAAAGAAGGTATAATTACTAATCAGTCAAGACCAGCTAGGCCAAGAAAAACATCTGGAGTTGATGACAGAAAAATTAGCAGAACTGCCAAGGAAAACACTAAAATAATTGTCAATGAAATCACCACCAATGTTCAGAGTGCAGGGGTGAAGGTATCAAAATCCACAGTGAGCAGACGTAGACAACAGAATCACAAAAGTTAGAGCAGAAGGTCCTTGCCTCTCTTCAGCAAAAACAGAAAAACAGAACAAAACTGTTTTTTACTTACAGTAAATGTGTCCCAATACTTATGGTCACTTGAAATCACTAGATTGAACACAAAGTATGTTTGTGTCCTAATATGATCATATGTTTTTATGGAATTACCAAAAAGTAATCCATGTGTTGTACTTATCCTTCATATTTATCTAATGATCATAAATTCCAAATTGAATGATATTTACATAGGTAAGAATATAAGGTTACAAATGAAAGGAAGCCATGTGGCCCATCTAACTATTATTATTATTTAATTGATCCAAGGATCACAACCAGCCCTTGGACCAGGAAGCCAGGATATCAGCTTCACAATCATTATGGATAGCTTTTTCTATACTCCCACCGCCCATTTTTAAATAGAGGTGTCTCCTGTTGTCAGTTTTAGATGACCTTCAACATTGGTTTCCACCTGTGATCTCTAGTGCATGATTTGTGGTTGAATAAATATATTTCTAATAAGAAGTGTCTTAAACCCGATATTTTCCATTTCCCATTTGTGTTTTATGTGTTTGCTTCCTGCATGCAATACCCAAAATAAGAAGTATTTACGTCATCTGTGGCCATTATAAAGGTTATATCTTGTTTTTTGGGTATACTTCTCTGTAGCATTTTTTCCTGCCTGTCTAAACATTTTAGTCTAACTTGAACACAAGGCTCCTTGAAAGAATGGATCTAGTATTTAATAGATTCCAAAAAACAAAAATGAGCTCTGTAACTAAATACTAATGTGCTGTGAAAAGAAAAAAATATGTAATGCTTTGCCATTTGACAAAACATCAGTAGAGATTTTTCAGCTATATGGCCATGTACTAAAAGTGCTTGCCTAAAGGCATATTGCTGAGTAACAGAGTCATTCCAGTGGTTCCTGTTTAACTTGTAAATAATTCCCACCTCAGAAATATCGTGACCTCTGCAGAGGTTCCTTTAAATAAGGAAGTGGGGGTTGACTTGTGCTTTGACCTTCATTTCACAGTCTTGCAAGAATCCAGATGCAATGAAACAACAAAATGCTATTCTGGTGCCAAATACATTTATGGTATGAAAAGCACAGTCTTGTTTTTACCTGACTGTGTCTAAATGGATCGGCATAAATATTCAAAATCTGAACCTCATGCTCTCTCAAAGTCATTTTGTGTTGAAGCAGACAACATATATTATCTTAAAGGCCAGCCATGAGAAAAGAGCAGAAATATGCGAATTGAGATCACAGTAAACATTTCATAGGTCTGAGCGCAAAGGAACAGATGTTAGTCTGTGGAATGGGAAGAAAAAAATATTACCCATCCAAACTGGAATAAATACACAAACACTAGGTCCTATTTCAACATTGTAACCTAATTGAATGCAAATCAGCGAAGCCATGCATTAATACGAAATGTTTGTGTTTCTGTTCCATCGATTCAACATGCACTAGAGCCCACATCTTTTTTAGAATGTGCTGTGTGCAGGTTGTCCTAGACAGGGAATCATTTAACACTACTATTGGCTATCCTAGGATGCTATGTAGCAGCCCTGTTACACTTATATTGATGATATTATTGTTTCCTGAGAGCTTAATCCAAGGCAATTTCCAATTCCTTGACCTCCAAATATGGATTTTTCACATTATATCTGACAAATGTCAAATTAATTATTTTTATTCCATTATTTTTTCAGGCTTCTGATGTGTGATGGTGGCAATTGTTGGTCTTGTTGGTGTTGATCTAAATTCTGAATGGCAACCACAAGATTTTCGGATCTTGCTGACAAAACCATGGACTGTTAGTACAGTAAGTTCCCTTTCTAAAAGTATCATAAGGCTTTAGAACATGTTAAGTTATTCCACAGTCACTCTAATGTAAAATAAAACAAGATATGAATCTTTGCTTTTAAATGTAGTTGATGTTCTTGATACAACGCCTTGCTATTAAAAATACAGAAGTGCTATAAAAAAACAGAAATTCTGTTATCAGGACATCCCTGCAGAGTCCCTGCAGAGGGATACAGTAAGCCAGAGCCTATCCTGGAAGCACAAAATGCAGGTCAGGACTAAAAACATTGACTGATCTTCCCCTGGACAGTGTGTGAGTTCATTGCAGGGCCACAGAGAAAGGAGAAAAGGGACAGTTTAGAACAGCCCTGGTTGTAGTACAGAAAATCAAATTAAGCCATCAAAGCGTGTCTTTAGGTGACAGAAGAAACCCACAGAAAACCCATACACATTCAAGCAAAACATGCTTAACAGAAACAGCCCAAGGCCAGAATCACACTCAAGAGCTGTGACTGTGACAGTGCTAGCCACCACACTACTGTCTCCATACAAAACCCATGAAACATCAAACACAATGGCTAAAAGTACTCGTTGCATTAGAAACTGCTTGGTATAGCCAGACTAATATACTAATATATATGAGCAGAATGATGTCATGGCATTAATGCCAAAATGTTCATGACTTAGATTGAGGTTTGACTTGTTTTGAGAAGCTTAAAGAAAAACAGTTTTATTCATCTTAAGACTTGGTAAGCTTAGGAAGCACTACAATCTGAAAGACATGTTCTCAAAAAGCTTTGGGAATGAGAGCCAGATTCCAAAATTGCTGTTCTGTTTCTAGCTTGCCAACTATTTCCACTGGTTCTATAAGGGTACAAAAACTCTCCTTTTGTTTTCTATGAATTATAGGACTAAATTAAAAAAATGAGACAATGACTGTTTTTATAATTACTCACCTTTTCAAATTTGAGGACTTCTGAATCAAAATCAAAACTGGGCATGAAGTGATGAACATTGCAATGTTGGTTTTGCATAATTAACCTACATAAATTGAATAATCACAAATGACATTTTCATAAATGTGGCTGACACAGACTAGTGTGTTTCTTGATTTTCAGATGACACCCTGCTGCTGTGACTTATTTAATAACATTTATTTATACAGTATGTGGTTTTTCCAGGTTTCTTCCATGGGCTTCAGGACCTTCAAGACTTCACTTTGACCTCTATCACACATCCTTAAAGCAACACAGTTACCTTCCTTTTTGTACTCTTGTATACAAAAGATTTTGTCGTTATTATTATTATAAATGTTGAAGCATGATTCGCCAAAACAGTGCTGTAAATTTTTAGATATTTTGAGGGAAAAAAAGTATTTTTGTATAAGGTAAATGTGAGTACAGAGTCTTCAGTTTTTGTGTCATTGATTGATGGTGTTAAATGACTGCTTTTTTGGCTTTGTGTTATGATTTAAAAAAATTAATTTAGTACAGCAGTTACAGCAGTACACTGCTGCTGTTTAAGTGAATGTACTGTAGGATAAACGTGCTCATATTCTTAACACTTTTGCTGTGGAAAGATGGATTTGATAGCCAATGTATTAAACATTATTCAGGAATGTTAAAACTACCCAAATGTTCTATTTTACACTAACCTGTGTTGTATATTTTGTACTACGTTTTTAATGGATTCTCTTTGTAATAAGATGGCTGCTAAGTCACTAACATATTTCCTAATTGTGGAACTGTTTTGATTAACTCTTGCAAGCATGCAAGCACTCAGTAAAAATGGCTAGGTAAAACATACATTTTCTAAAAGTCATGATAGTGTATCATCCTCAGTATCTCAAACATGCTATTCCCAAATTTTTAGCATCTGCCTGAAACTTCCAGTACAGAAGTATTTTGTACTGCTCCCATGAGTCAACTTTATTTAAGTCCAATTATTAAATAAGCTCGACTTATTGGATCATTAAGGTCCTAGCAATCAGACAGGCAGATGAACTGAACATTCCATTTGTAATATTTCTCATCTTCTAATCCTTTCACAATCTGATCCTTGAGAACAACAATCCAAAAGGATTGCATTACTTTTTCACACGTGGTAAAAGGGTTAAATTTACTTTAATAATGAGTACAATTGCCTCATTTACAGACCAGGGTGTCCTGTGATTCTCAAAGATTTTACTGGAAAGCCATTGCAATATAGATATTTCTTGTGCAAGCACACTCTGACTTTCAGGGCAGCTTGTCTTCTTGTAAAACTAAACCCTTTTTTCTTCTAAATGAGATATTGTGCAAATAAATCTTAATCTTAGCTTGGTTGGTTCAGTCCATCCAAGGTTCAATGGTTCGATCCTCTCTGGTTCAATATAGAAATCACGGTAGGAAATTCCCTCTCCTAAGTCTGATGGAATAGCAAGAAAATAGTGCAGTTCCAAATGGATTCCACCATTAATAAGTGAAACTCTGAACAGGGGTATCTCTAACAAACACAAAAAAAAGTTTAATAACTGTGCATCATGCAGTGTGCCCTTTGATTGAGGGTAGCATAGAAAATCCTAAGCAATAAACTCTTTTAAAGCTCTATAGTGCATTGGAAGAGCACTAATATAAATACGTGCTACTTCATATAAACATGTAAATGTTTAAGTATTTTATTCCTCTTATAAAACATCTCTTTTTGTTTCTGCTAATTGCTGAGCATTATCCTGCTGCTTTGCTTTCATTTAAACCAGAAAGCTAACCTTGGCTAATTATTTTAACTTCACCATCCAACAGTCTTTAAACACCAATAGTTGCTGAATGAGTAATACAAAAGAGGTTGATTCAATTCTCAAGTGAGATACTCAAATAGATTTTTAAAAATGCAAACTTCCATTATTGGAGAGCTTTAAAAAACACTGTGTTTTTCTTTTATTGTATATCTCATGCTAAGCATAGACAGTCCAAACAGCTAAACTGTGGTGTCGCAATATTTAAAAAATAAGGCTTACATCTTAATGTTAAGCAGTTAAGTAAAATACTTTGAACACTTTTTATTGTTGCTTCTTAAAATATGTTTTGCTCCGTAGGTAATACAATTCACTTTGGAACCTATAATCACCATTTTCCAAGTTTTTAATGCACCAATTTTGCACCTCCAGACAACAAACACTGTATGAGATGCAAGTTTATGGAACCAGTGATGTATGCTTTAATAACACTTAGCCATCAATACTGTGAATTTCAAATTCTTCTGAAATTACACCCCAATTTACAACAGTTATAAAACACTGGGTTTTATCACAAAATAAAAACAATTGTATCTTCATACTAGGATTGCTCATAATAAAAAATAAAATGTTCATTTAGATGAAAAATAAGGTTTTGTTGTTGAAAACCTTCACATATTGAATTCTGTAATTTACAGTACAATTAAAATTAATCTTAAAACTGAAAAATGTAGTTTCATACTCAAGCAATAATGAAATAAAACTCAGATTTTTATTATAGCCCTACTAAACATTACAAAATATCAGTACCACGATGTTAAGAATCCATTAAAACGTTAGTAATTATAAATATGCTACATCACAGGAAATGAAACCATGTAAAAATGTTTTTTTAAATAAAATCTTGATATTTGTTTTAAATGGTTTTAATTTGTAATTAGAATGTTCATCCCATTTTCTTTCTCCAAGTGTGTTTGGCCGTAAAAAGAAAATTAATATAAACATATTATAAAATTAAAATGTAAAAAAAAACTAAATAAAAGCTTTTTCCCTACATTACAATTGTCACAGCTATTAAGCCATTGTAAAAAAAGGTATTTTAAATTACTTTATAAAAAACTAAATTGCATATCTTATTTTTTGTATAACATGGATCAGATACATATTTTAAGCCATTTAGTAGTTGTCAATAACTATTATTTCTTGAAATAAGTTTCAGAAACAGAAGAGGAAAAACTCCCATTAGATTTTACTCTGGGACAAATCCAGGTCACTAACAGATTGAGTTTGACAGAATGCTCATTGCATTCTTTTCTGTAGTTTAATTGGTATGTGATGGCCATACTGATTGTTTTCTTATGTTCTGTTGGCTGTTGCTGTGAAACTTCATGTGGATTTAGGTTTTGTTGTTACTTAGTATTTTTGTAGTTCAGTATGAATCACATTTAATGGTTTATCTCACAGTGCCCACTGCTAAAATGGTTTAGTAGTGGGAAACACTAAAAAAGGACTCAGGATTCAACAGTCTGAACAACCTATTCAAGGATAACTCCCTGCCTCCTCTTCTCAGTATCAATGGAAGGGTTGACACTAAAATGTTTGTACTGTTAATGTTGGATAACCAAAGAAGTAGAGGACAGCGTTTGAACTTTTATGTCATGTTTATTTGGCTTAATTGTGGTGCTATTAAGAAGTGTCTCTGCCTTAACACAAAACATTCCTTACCTTTCAATTTCTGGCTATCTAGTCCCACAATCAGAACCCGTCAGAAGGGAAAGCTCTCAGGCAAATAATGAGATCAGCTGACCACATACCTTCTCTAAGGGGACAATTTAGTACTACAGCCAATCAAACCTCACTTGCATGTCTTTGGGAGGTCAGAGGAAACACAGCACACAGCACACAGTGAACATACAAACACAGAATCAGGTTCTGAACTTTGGAGGTTTGTGTCGGCAGCCCAGCCTGCCATCATGCCTCACTCCTTTTCAGCGCTTGCTCTCCAAACAGACCTGGAGTACTCGGCTTCTGATTTCCAATCACGGCCACATTTCACTTTCTACACAGCAGCATTATGAAAGACCCCCGACAATCTTCCTGAAACGCCGGTGACATTTCAAATAAGTGCCAAGTGTTGAGGATGCCTGGTACTTCAAGGGCACAGTCACCACTGAATTGTAATAAATGCTTTCTTCTTCTCAAGTTTTATTTTATTCCCAGTAGTCCTAAATAACTTTCTATCAAAATACACCTACTGATAACTATATCACGCAACAAAAAACAAGTATTATAAACAGTTGAAAGTCTGTAAGGCATTAATGTTAGTTTTTTTTCAAAGAAGTCTAATACATAACCCCCTAAAAACGTCCGGTCATATAATTGATATTTAATATAGAATTAAATATCTGCTTTTCATGCTGCTTATCATTGCTTCTTGTGAACTGAGTATTATTTAAGACCTGTTGCTATATTGATTCTAGTTACCACAGGGAAAAAAACTATTTTAGAAAGATTAATCACTAATGCAAAGAAATTAAAATACGATACTGCATATCTGACAGTATTACATAGGGCACATTACACAGTTGTACATCAGTTGACTTCAAAGCATTGTTTTAATGACTGTTATCTTCTTATAATTTTTCCGCTTTTTTTTTTCTACAGAGCTCCCATCTTTGAAAATATGATCAAGAAATATAATACGATACACAAGAAACAGAGTAACTGAAATGTGACTGGACATTATGAGACTGCAGTGTACTCATGTGCAGCCTAAGACATGGTTTCCCGTCAGTAATGACTGTGTGTAGAATATGGTTGTTTTGGTAAATACCTGTCATAAGCACTGTTTTTTGGACAGAGAGAAACCAGGAGTACAGGTTCCGCCCCTGATGTTGTTATACTTTGAAAGCTAAATATTTCTTGGCAACATTTATATTTATATTTTCTTTTCTCAAAATAAATGGTGAAAAATGTCTCATTTTCATAATTCCCCAAGTCCACTTCACACATTTAGCTCTGCGTGGGTCCTTGTCAGCTGCCTCCTAGCAACCACACACAGGGGAATTTCACCAGTTCCTAAAAAGACCAGAGTTCAAACCACAAGACTGGAAGTAATCAGATGTCACTACCATATTTTTTCTCTTTGTCATCTGAGTCTTTCAGACCTTCTATATCAGCAGGTATCAAGAGCACTCCACCAGACCTCTGGTCCACTGTGACCAGCAACCATCTGCCTGCACTTATCTGGAGTGACAGAAGCAGGCCGCTCTTTCAGGAGTGTACACTCAGTCACTGTGGGCGGTGGTGCTGCATGCCACCCACACCCCCTACTAAGCTACACTTCTGAAAAGCCTGGAAATGTGTATGAATTATACATAAGTCATGAATACATTAAGGCATGGTCGTTTGCCTGTGCTCCAATAAGCTACATGGGTTTTTTGTCTACCTGTGCAAAATGGAAAAAGTGGCAAGTTTTCAGGGTGTTTTCTTGGAATTCTAAAGCATTTTTTAAACATAAATGCACGCTTTCAAACAGAATTGGTCTAGAACTAACCGTACATTTATCTGAATAAACAAGACTCTGAGTCTTGAACTTCCACAAAAAGCTATGGGAAAAAAGATTAGTTTCCAGATTATCAATGTCACATAAAATCCACTGATTTAAAATCCACTCCGTCTAAGAAAAAAGAAGGAATGCAAAGTAATTTATTAAAAAATAGGTTTCATTTTTTTATTACGTTTTATCTTTTATAACAAACATTCTTCAAAGAAGTTCAGGTAAAATGTACAATGTGCTCGAAAAAACAGGAGAAGAGGCTGCCATTCAGCTATCAATTTTCCTTAGCAATACACCATCCTTGCAAATCATATTAGGTTTAATGTCTTACTGTGTGCTGGCATTAAAGAAAAAAATACATATTTACCTGGACTGACATTTGTGTGTTTCTAAACAAAGCTATACAATTTAATAAATGCCAATCCCCTTTCCTTTTGGCTAAGATGTAATTCCAGGCAGATGCCAAAACAAAAATCATTCAGAAGCACCACTACTCTCCCCCACTGGATTGAGCTGCCTTTGCCCCGGCTCCCTGGCAATGAAAGGGAGCCCTTCCTCACTTCTTGGCTGGGACCCCCTCGGAATAGTCCTCCAAAACCCCAGCAAGATGGTCGTTGTGAGTCTTGAAACGCCTCTTCTTCTGAGAAACAGGCTTCTTTCTCTTCTGGATTGGTGCCTGTGGGGACACATACATACATACTGTATGGGGCACTTGAAACCAGCAATATTTGTGTGGAACACCACTATTACGCCCCGGGCTGGGAGGAATACCATTCCCCACGTTGCCCCTGGACCACCAGCACATTCACACGGGTCGTCAGCTTCCTTCCGAACCCACGTGAATGCAGTCAGGGCTCATTTTTTCCAAAAACCGCCTCTTTTTCTCTGCGCGAGACTCTCTAAATCAATCAGGTAATGAAGTAAGCTGTTTAAGGCTTTGTCCCCGCTTATTCGGTGCTCTGACTTGGAGCTAGAGCTCACAGTGTAAGCTCTGCTGTCAATCAAAGACTCGTCCTACAGATGCCTTTTTTCCCCTCCAACTCTTCGAGCACTGAATCGGCGGGTACTCGCTGTCCTTGCTGCATTCTGTCCTGGCTCATGTTTTTCCTTCCTTTTTTCAATTCGCTGTCAGCTGCACGGCTCCTGCTCCCCAGCCTTCTCCACTGCCTCATTCTCACAGCTCCCTTTTCAGCCAGCCTCTCCGCTGCAGGGAAGGCAGCCTTATTGATGCTCATCATTCACTCATCTCCTTTCACTCTTCCAATCGTCCCGCATCAGCTTCTCCTTCATCCCGCATTCTAGCCTTTACGTTTCGGTAATTACTGGTTTCTTCTACAGGCACGTTTTGTTGCTTCTGTAATGCAGGACTGTCTGGTCAAGCATTTGTTTGCATTTTTCAATATACAGCCGTGTATATTTAGTGCACAGTAGGTGCGTTGAGTGTACAGCCGTGTTTCATTAAGGGGTGCACCTGGAGTGCCTGTGTGTTTCAGTGTTCTGGTACGTACAAGTTTCTTTGGTCCAGTCTCCTGCATGGAGGAGATACCCTGTCTCTTCAGGTACTCTTCTATCTTCTCCTCATCCATGGAATCCACTGGAATGCTCCGCCAAAGCTTCTGAAACTCTGAAGCAGGAAATATTCTTCAGATGGCTCACAATGTTTCTAGCCGTGTTGTTTGATAGTTATAACTAGTTAAATATTTAAGTCTACATAATAGACCTGACACCAACAGGTGTACAATTACAGTCACATATGTTACTGAGGTTCATAAGGTTCATATATACGCATAAGAAAAGAAAAAGTATCATAAGTATTATATTTTAACAGTGTGAGTTAATTGAGAATATCTGAAAATGTTCACTACACTGGTAAAAAAAAAACCTTCATTAAGTCTTTAAGAATTGTATTGCACCTTAAAATGCTTAGTATCTTGTTGGTCTATTAAAATATCTGAATTCAACCACAACTGAGAAAGCTGTAATGATTTTTTTAGGCACAACATCTGCATACACTTTGTGACTGAAGTTCTGGAACCAACTTGAAGTTCCTTTCCGGTTCTTTCTGTATCTCACAGCTAAGAAAAAAGTTCTACAGAAGAGTCTTCGGCGGCATACGCTTAGGAAGTGTCTCATTTCAAAGCAGGTTGTCTTGGAGCAGATTAGGTGTTATATCACTGTTAATTCCTCTCTGACGAGGCTGCTGGCAAAGGGATTAGATGCTGAGTTCTTGGAGCCGAATCAATAGAGTTCTGCTACAGGCAGAGGGCACATGTCATTGACCTTGCCTTTGTACAGATGTGTCTAGGTGACGGTGGAAGAAGGAATAAGAGCATCCGATAATGCCAGTAGGCTCTCAGTGACCCCAGCAACAAGCCCTTTTATCCACACTTTCTCAAGGTGAGCATGCTCTTTAATGTTGTGGGGATGATGATGTGCAAGCGTGTGTAATGGCACTAACTCTACTTTTCTTTCTGGTCCATAAAGATTCCAAGGGCAGCACAGCACCTGTCCTACCACTTCATTACGACAGCGTGGAAATAATACAACAGGCACAAAAGAACATGGCTGTATAATTTTTAAACCCTAAAATAAATGAGATTTCATGACTGAGACGAACGTTCACAGGCTCAAAAACACATCTTAAGATGAGCAGACAAACTGCAAATCGGCTGCAAAATAAATTGAACCCTTTAACATGCTATTGTCTTCACAGAGATCTTGAAGGAATCTCAGTGTCTAATCTGCAGTTGGAATAAGCACAAAATATATTAATAAATTAAATGAAACATACATTATATCTGCCACCGCCTAACGATGCTACACATACCACACTCCGGTAAAGCAGTTATTTTACCACTTAATTTATGATTTATGAATTTATGTTTACAATATTCTCCTCTAAAGATCTTTAATTCTAGCTTCCAACAAAGTAAGACCACCTACCTTCATCCACCACAAACTGAAAGTTTTTGTCATTGTAGAAAAGTATCTTTTTCTTATCTGGTCTTGTCACAAAAACAACCTGGTCACCCAAAGCCTGTCAATGACAATGCAGACGAAATGTCAAAATGATGGTATTTGAATTATTTCTTCATAAGGAATATTTTTTTATGTATACTTTCAGTGAGATAAGCAAGAGTTTAGCAGGATGGCATTCTCTTTTTTATTTTTTGGAAAATATTTGGAAAGATGGTAGAACACTCTTGGTTTTCTAAACTTTTCCTTACTGATATCAAAATGAAGAAGCCAGTTGTTGTTGTGAGGGAAAACCGGCATACCGCTAAACCGTCGGTTCTTTAGTCACACGGTACATACCGTGGTAAGTTTTAGACTGTACCGGTACGCTCGGTAATTTCCGGCAATTACCATCGGCGGTTTTATTTTTTCGATTTGAACAAAGATTTTCTACTGTTTAAATTTGTTTACATAAAATAAAATTTGATTCAAATAACAAAATGACTGCGATAAAAATGTCAATAACCCGTTAAAGGGTGCGTAAAAAAAGTCATACTAAAAGTATTTCCCGTATATCATTGGCTAGTAAATTTAGAAATATGACATGATTTTGGAAATCACATGGAAATTATCTGAATTGGGGAGTATTTGATGATTATTTTTCTTACTTCTCCTGAAAAGCATATGGTTTATTCCTTAGAGTTGTCTTGTTGAGGCAATTCTAATTTCTAAGAGTATCCATATATTTTTACAGAGAATCAGAGAAAATCATCATCAAATACTCCTTTACATATCCATGGGGTACAGCTGTTGTTGTAATATTAAGGGTTGTTTACCATTGACGCTGTTAATGGTACGTAACGTACTTATTTTCAATGACCCATTGAGCGTGTGATGTTTTTTCTAGTTTTCCTGATTCTACTGTACCTCTAGTCGGGAAGGAAGTCTTGTCTTGATCATGTCTTTAATTCCATTACTACTATTAGAAATGATTAGATTTTTTTTTTCTTTTTTGCAAGTAAGATTGTCTTAAGATATTTAAGTCAATACAGAAAGTCTTGACTCAGCAATGTTTTAAGCAAGTATTGAGGATTCTCTGAAGTTTTAGATTAAATAGCCAAGCGCAATCGAACATGCTAAATGTTTCAAAAGGTTGTGCATGTCAACTTTACTTATAGTAAAGAAAGTAAACTTTACGTATTGTAAAGAAAAAATGTTACACCTTACAAGCGCCTTTCATATTTTGAATTTAACATTATCTTGCTAAGCAAAATTAACCTCCAATACATTGTAAAAAAGATTTAATCATTTAATGATTGACAAAAAACTGCATGTTGTTAAATTGTTCTAGTTCTTTGGTTCCAATAAAACAACCATTTTCATTACTTTATTTTGTATACAACTCAATATGCTTCGCTAATCATGAAATCAAACTATGAGAGAGTCTCCATATTAATATAAACATGCATAAGTTCACAGTATACCATGGGACGTATCGCATACATGCATGTGTACCAAGGTATACCGAGGTACATTTTCCAGAGGAAGTACCCAACCCTAACATATATATATATAAAAAGGCAAATTATTATTGATGCTAGGCCACATAGTTTGATGGCAGTCAGCACTACCGCCTCAAAGACCTTTGGTCCTGGGTTTGCTTCTGGGGTGACATGCAAGTTCATGTTCATGTTCCTGTTCTTCTCCTTGTTCCTGCCTGTCTTTAACTTATGCACTGAGACAGTTACAGAAGTGACATCACCCCCTTCTGAAATCTTCCGAAACCGTACAGAACTCTGCTGTGGCACTGGACTGGTCTTTTGATATGGTGGAATTATGCGTTGTTCGCAAAAGTGCAATGGTTCTTATGCTAGGAACGCAGCCCACAGCATCGACCCAAAAATACCCAGCAACACATCATCACAAGAACAGAAAATCAGGTCAGCACAAAAGCTTCTTCTCACATTAACAGAAGTGTCATGGCTGCTGTGATGCAAATACCCTGCAGGTTTGTTTCTTTACTAGCGTAAGATTTGCAATGACACCATTTCAATTACACTCATACCACAGTAAAAGAACATTCAGTATATGAATTTTCGCTAATCCGAAACATGAAGAATTTGTACCTTGTGATTTGTTATAAGAACGACATTTCGCTAATCCAAACTTTGAAGTTCGGAAGTGAACCTTCAGCGAACAGTTGAATTCGACACATCGGAACAGCTATGTGTTTCTGCACGGGCGACAGGCATTGTGAGGCAGCAGTCCTTTGTTTATAATCACAGCGAAAGCTTGTGCTCTCATTTTCAAAGTGTTTGTCTGGTAGTTGCTGTTCATTATGGGGTCTTAAGGAAGAGAAAAAGATTCTTCAGCCATAATAGTCGACAACAGTATGCACATCGTTCTAGTCAATCGCTTGGATAGCGATCTTTTTTGCAAGAATGAAAAATGTTAATATGATATCATTATTTTACAGCTACAGCTGGCTTATTTGATTAGAACTGCGCTGTTCACTAAGCTTGCTATAATGGTCTGTATGGCATTATATGTTTAGGGTGGTTTTTGAGTGAACTTGTCTTCGGTTCGGCACGGGGGAAGAATTTTCCCCATAAGAAATAATGGAAATATTCGTTTTCGATTTACGATCTCCCGTCTTCCGAACAGATTTTGGAGAACAAATTAAGTTAGGATTCGGAGGTATGAGCGTAGTTCACTGAACCTTGACCCCCCCCCAGGCCCAGGTCACCTTGATGGCTTTCTGCGCATTGGGCAGCCCCTCCTCCACATCATCGAGCAGCACTCCGCCCAGCCCCAGCTGGTCGTGCTTGTCCAGCAGCCGGAGCAGGGCCTTCTTGTCCTTGAGGTTGTACTTGGGTTTGAAGCCGTACTTCCCATCCCGGACCTCAATCTTGGGATTGCTGGCCAGAGCCTGCAGGACCGCGGATCCCCAGAAAAACCGTTAGTTTGATGAAACTACTAGACAACAAAAGCAACTCGGCGTCTTCTTAACCTGCAGCTGAAGTAGGATTTTCAATCACAGAGAGGAAAATGTTTATTTCTTTCTTGGCCCGAACTGAAAAAATAAGTTGTACAGCAAGCAATATTTATATTTATTAGGCTTGATATTGGCTCCCTCTTGTGGAAGCTAATTACAAAATTCTTCTCCCCATTAAACTGAAAGAAACGCATCACTGCACAGTACAATGTCAATATAAAACAAACCTTGAAAAACCAAGTTTTATAGAATTAAACCGAACTACCAAATTGTCACCTAAATCTGCAAAGTGAATTAAGAAAATTCAATTTATTAGGTGTACTGATAAACTATTTCAATAATTCAACATTAACACAAAAAGAGAATTCAAGCGTTCAAGCACTGTTAATTTACATTTCATTTACATTTAATAAATGCAAAAAATAAAATAACTGGAACCCTCCGAAATAAACAGACAATAATCTGCAAATTTTATTCTCACGCACTGATTTGATTGTCTTATCTGTTGATAGTTGTTATGTAAAATGCTAGAGATTTTCCATCAGTGCATAACCATACAAGCAGAAAAGTTATTAAATATTTCTAACAGATTATAAAAAAATGGAGTGTGACGAAAGCAGAATTTATCCTTTCAAATCATTCCACCTAAACGTTTTCCTATGTCCCCTCTGTTGGGCATCAATATTTTCATTGATACAATGCTTTCAGATTAAGTGTTCAAATAATGTAAAGATTAATCAGTAATTTAATACTGTACCTCAGTCATTAACCATTGTTTCTGTTTCAAACCAATATCCAGCAATTTAGTTTCATCCAAAATTTCATCCAAAGTCAAGTGATAGGTGTCTCCTCGCTGGTGTCTTGTCTAGGGAAAAAAAGCATGAAATAATTATTCTACAATAAAGACCAGATGCTCACTTTGACTTGGCCTTGCTTTTCTCACGGACAAGACAACCTATTTGCCTCACATACGAAATTAGCCATACAACTTCTTAGTTTAGATGGCACAGATCTAAAAGTGCTGGGATGCAATAAAATGCATCTGAATTGAATCACCTGGGCAAGACTAGCTGTATCACACAGGTCAGCAGGACAAGAGATACTTACAACTGACAGTTCACCTTGAAACAGCAATGCTTCTCTTAGATTGGAAATCCAAACTGGGAGTGCAAATTAAAACTCAAAATTGTTGCTCATTGTGCTGTGGAATTGGGGAAATGAAGGACTCTGCTCTAGGGCTTATTTATAAAACCTTGCCACTATGTTAATTATACTCCCTGTTAATTGATTTTAAAAAACAAAAGAAAAAATATTGTTATCTTTTACCACATGCTGCATGTGCCAAGGCCAGCTCTATCCCAGACACACTGGGACAAGTTCAGTTCACAGCTGCTGGGATGTCCTGCACCAGTCACCCACAAGAAAAGTTTTTGGATTCAAGCTCACCAGGCTACCACTGGAATGTGTCGGCAAGCAATACTTTGTCATCAATAACGATAATGTAACATTTGTGTGTGTTGTCTGTCACATGAGGTTAGATTTATCCACTGTTTGCAATTGATAAGGACTAGATGAAAGTTAGATATGTCTTAAAATATAAAACTATAGAATCATAAGGGGATGTACTTCTTTTTGACATCAATGTATGTTCTTAAGGAAGAACTATCGCTTGTGTCCTCCTCTTGAATAATAATTCACTTGTACCATGTTTCTTTATTTAGACATTGAGTTAAATCTGAAAAACATTGTAGAAGCAACGCTCAAAAAGCAAGAATTGGGAAATGACTTAATCAGAAACACAAGGCAGAGGTAAAAGCATCATACATACAAAATAAAAAATATACATTTTCCTTACCTTCATATAGTTTACTATCTTTGCAAGTACACCAAACTTATAGCCTGAACTTCCAGACAGTGCTTTTAGGTTAAATGATCCATTGCTGGAATCTGAAAATAAAAAAGGAAAATGCAACAATGCAGTTGTATCTCTATGGAGCTGTAAATGTATATTTAAACACCTTAGTTGATTCACCTGTAATCTTTACTTAGACCTGCTAGAATGGGGTCAGTGTTCAATAAGCTTTGAAAACATCAATGATTTGCCAGACTTCATTTAATCTAGTTTTAATAGATATTGAAATGAACTTTTTTTTGTCAAAGACAGCTTTGAAGATGTAAACATATCACACAAGACAACCGGTATAGATGTAAGTATAGTAATAAGTCAATTTCATGAAAAAAATCGGGAAGTCATAAAGTAAAGTTCTGACGAGGCACCGTGTAATTAAAATGTTGAAATCTGGAAAATGAACATACTGGTATAAAATGTGAAGAAAAAGGCTTCCACAAAATCCTGTTAAAGGAGAAAGCTCAAGGTTCTCTATTGGCATTAATAAATGGTTTGAATTCTATGCTTCAACCACACTGACCATGAGGGGAACTATGAGGACACACGCTAAAGGTGACAGTCATTTTCAATACCTTGTTCTGCGAACGTACTGACCTATTCATGTAAGAAAACAGTACAACCTGTGCAAGGCTTTCAAATAATAACATTTAGCTGAGATTCCACATCTCTCCAAGAAGGTGACATGTATGATCATATTTGACCAGTGTGTGAATGTAATATAGCTGATCAGAGGAGAACAACATAACACTAAAGTTTGGTTTTAACTATGTATTGATAAATGCCTAATCAACTGCTGACATGTTTATAACTAACCGTAATAAGAATACAAAATCCTTTCATTATAATATGAAATAAAAAGAATGATATAAAAAGCTTGTCCAAAACAAATAAAAATAAGTGATATTCTCAAAGAATAACAAACTCAAATATCTTATTGGCAACTACAGTTTTATACCTTGCTTCTTTGTCTTTTACTAAAATATCAAGATCACACCGACCACCCTTAAACACTGGTTTGAGCATGACAAACTGCATACAAAAGGAGAATCCCTACCATACTAGTGTAGTTTTGATATGTGTTATTGCAGGAACCGTAACAGTTGCATTCAGCATGCCCCTTTAAAATGTTCAAGAGGCAAACCCTTGGGAATAGGAGCCTGAAGAAAGCCATCACCGACAGACACTCCGCAGTCTCACTGCTTCTGCACTGAATATTGTAATGCAGCCAGTAGGCGCCCCCATGGCAGACAGCCCTAAGATCACAATGTCTGCCTAACCAGACAGGAAAGCCCTGCCCATCCAGACAGGACAGGAGACTGGTATGTATTTTTCTGTCCTTCTTCACGTTTAAGGGCTGACAGGTTGAGCTGGTGAAAATATGCAAAACCCATTTCATCTCCTTCTTGCCACTGAGCTAATAACAAAATAAAAAAAACTGAATAATGACTGACCAAGAGTGTTTCTAAGTCAGGTGTAATAAAAATATTAAAATAAAATAAAATAATCTTTCTTAGTCCTCCAACATCATCCCTGCAGAAACTACAGAATCCTTTGTGAATGATGCAACAAAATCTGAACTGTCACTAAAGATAATAAACCGAGGTATCTCTCCCCTGGCTCAGAATGTTATTTGTTTATGTAAAATCAACCCATTTTTCAGCCTCATGAATGATGCAGTCCTAGGGTGGGAGCTGTATGCTAATGCAGGGAACGGGCTCCTCTCTTTGTGCTCTAACTCAACCAATCAGCGTCTTGCTCCATTTTCCAGTTGCTACTGCCTGTGTCATCCAGGCCACAAGCAGCAGGAAGGAGACGCCTGCCTTTTCCAGCATCCCCTCCAAAAGACACACAGGTATGTCTGCAAGCTTCTTCCAAATCTGGGTGAATTTTATTGCTGGGGTTTCGACCAGTGCACCAATCTATAAATACAGCTACCCAATAACTGCAACCTTATTATATATTGTTTTGGTGGGCAATAAAACTTCTAGTCATGGAATCATATGCTTTAGCCGACAAAAGGCTGAACTGTGCTTTTTATGTGAAGATCCAGTACTGAAACAGCATTAATGTACTTAAAAGAAACTGCCTGAAATGAGAAGTGAGGCATGATGAAAAGGACAAACAATTTCTTTCAAAGAAAATAGTTCCATGAAAAATGAGGAAGGGAAATACAAACAGCACTTTTAACTGATGCTGGGGAATGCATAAGGTAAACCTCACCCCCTTGAAGCAAGAAATGATGTTTGGTGTGAAGTGTGTGGTTCAGTGTAAGCGTAATGCAAAGTATAAGAAAAGAGAGTGATTATGGGGAATCACAGGCGGGTAGCAGTCAACAGCACTGCTGGGGCGGAGGATGGGAGGTATTTATAGAATGGTGGTTTGTCATTTTCTAAGATTAAATTAAGTGAAGGTTGAAAGCAATGACCACTCAACATGCAGGATTGTTGATTATTTTTGTCTGCGATGCAGGCTAGGCACAGGGCCTAGTCTCTTTCCCACCTAGAGCTGACACTGAGCTGATGAAACTGCATCCTTTCAGTTAACCCATTGCACGGTATTGATCTCAGTCTCTACTTCATTACTTGGTAATGAAGGCTACCAAATGAACTAAATTTCATTATAGTGTGGACATTATAGGAGTTCAAACAGTATCTGAAAGTCAAGAGGCCTTAACTGCTCACTTTAACTGAATATGTTAACATTATTTGTAATGGTACAAGCTCAATTTACTTCTGTAATTTATTATAATTCACTACACTTTTCAATGTCTTCCAGAGCCCAATTTGTGATTATAGTTATGTTGGGTTTATTAGTTTTACAAGTAACTTTAATTGGCATCAGTTCTTTCTTAAATTAAAAAAATAAAACTACATAATATTAAGTGTGAAGACTGAGCTGATACATTATAAGGCACTTTTGTAACTCTTATTCGTGCAATACACTGAAATGCCAAGGCTTAATGTCTAGGAGAAGGAAAAATAATTATGAGTTTCATGAATTATTGTAATTATACTTCTTTTTCTAAAACACAGTAAGACAAACAAATGTAAACAGAGAATCCACGATTCCATTTCACTGGATAACTGGGAAATTCAACACTCCACAGGTGTCTAACACTCACACAACAACCATAAATAAAACATTACTTTAGTATAGTACTATTGTCTGAATACTCAAGAGTGCACAAACATTCACATAACAAAACTTCATACACGTTTTTGCAAAAAAACATAAAGCAATGTCACATTCAAACAGTCAGGTACCAATGAGCAGGGTATGAAAAAAAAGAGCAGCTCTGAAATTTTAAATATATCCCATATTGTACATTTAACTGCCTCCAAAGACAATGACATATTAATCTAAGATTAACAACTGCCAGAATGAGAAATATGCCACTCCGTCAGCCACCTACCTTCTACTAATTTCTCTGTGTTAAGTGCCGATATCTGTTTTTCAAATATATTTTTCATTTGAAATACATACTTTCATATTCATAGCAACTGCCATGTCAGGGGAAAATATCAGTATTTATCATAAATGTTAGTAGGCAGCCTTTCTGTTATTATTGTTGCGTATGTGATTTTTTGCAATGCTTTTATTACATTCACGTCTGTACATATAATTCTGCTCTAGATAATTTTACTTAGACGTCAAAAATTATGTTGACTTGTTTTTTTAACTTTTCTGCCAATACTGCATTTTTAAAATGTGAAATCATGAAAGACACATCCAATGCAAAACGATATATATATATATTAGATAATAATTCCAGAGCACTAACCCAACTCCACAATGTTGCTTCATTGCATACAGTAAAAAATACAATGAAAAGTGGCTTTTTTATATTTATCTATAATAAATCCACTATTAGATTCACAAATCTTGTTGTTCAAAAAAGTTGAGTTTGCATATCTTTAAAAATGACAGTAAAGGGTGCCATGCTCATCTGAAAATACTTTCATAGCCTCTTTCCAAAATCAAAATCTCTTTCAAGGGTTTTCAAATAAAACAAGAGCAAAAAGGAAAGGAAGCACATCCTTTTAGATATTCCAGGCAAAACTACAAGCTTCACACTGCAGCACTGACCCATTAAACAGAGTTTATGTTACACATAACTATCTTATCAGTGCCTCTGTTTCCCTGTACTTAAACAGTGTTATCTCAAACACCCATTTGAGTTGGATGGCACCAGACAAAGACATACAAACATCCATGAGACTGCTGCTTACTCCTGGTCACAACAATCCAGAGCATATCTCAGAATTAAAGGACACCAAGTGGGACTAAAGTCTGGACGCGAAGCTAGTCTATCACAAGGCATGCTTGCACACAATCTAAATACGTCATCTAAACCGAAACATTTCA